GGCATTGAGTGGCAATGGCATCACCAGTCACATGATTACAAACAACAAATCAAATCCATGCAAACTGGCATTGAGTGGCAATGTTATGACATCACCAGTCACATGATTACAAACAACAAATCAAATCCATGCAAACTGGCATTGAGTGGCAATGACATCACCAGTCACATGATTACAAACAACAAATCAAATCCATGCAAACTGGCATTGAGTGGCTATATGTTACACTTGTATAACATCACCAGTCACATGATTACAAACAACAAATCAAATCCATGCAAACTGGCATTGAGTGGCTATATGTTACACTTGTATAACATCACCAGTCACATGATTACAAACAACAAATCAAATCCATGCAAACTGGCATTGAGTGGCAATGACATCACCAGTCACATGATTACAAACAACAAATCAAATCCATGCAAACTGGCATTGAGTGGCTATATGTTTCACTTGTATAACATCACCAGTCACATGATTACAAACAACAAATCAAATCCATGCAAACTGGCATTGAGTGGCTATATGTTACACTTGTATAACATCACCAGTCACATGATTACAAACAACAGATCAAATCTATGCAAACTGGCATTGAGTGGCAATGTTATGACATCACCAGTCACATGATTACAAACAACAAATCAAATCCATGCAAACTGGCATTGAGTGGCAATGTTATGACATCACCAGTCACATGATTACAAACAAATCCCCCAAATAAATCCAAATTTGAAAATAAATTATTCATTCCACCTAGTAGATGAAAGCAGAGTGCCAAGGATGACATGTATTCTATAATATCAAATGGTGGTTTTTATATTTCAGTTATCAACTATTATTACAGTCACAAGTACTCATAGTCAGTAGGTGTATTTTCATCCAAATTTGTTAAATATATAATATTGGAAGGTCTTTACCACAACTGTTAATCTTTGTAAAGTAAAATAATGCATAATAATTTATCTTGACATAAAACATTACTGGCTAACAAAAATGGTAGGCTAAATCAAAACATTACTGACTAACAAAAAAGGTAGGCTAAATCAAAACATTACTGGCCAACAAAAATGGTAGGCTAAATCAAAACATTACTGGCCAACAAAAATGGTAGGCTAAAAAAATCAAAACATTACTGGCCAACAAAAATGGTAGGCTAAATCAAAACATTACTGGCCAACAAAAATGGTAGGCTAAATCAAAACATTACTGGCCAACAAAAATGGTAGGCTAAATCAAAACATTACTGGCCAACAAAAATGGTAGGCTAAATCAAAACATTACTGGCCAACAAAAATGGTAGGCTAAATCAAAACATTACTGGCCAACAAAAATGGTAGGCTAAATCAAAACATTACTGGCCAACAAAAATGGTAGGCTAAATCAAAACATTACTGGCCAACAAAAATGGTAGGCTAAATCAAAACATTACTGGCCAACAAAAATGATAGGCTAAATCAAAACATTACTGGCCAACAAAAATGGTAGGCTAAATCAAAACATTGTAAGTTGAAATGTGAATAATATGGAATTTTACTAATATAGAAGCTAAGGCTAAAAGCATTTGATCTGAAATAAAAGTGAATCTCTATAAAAAATATTGAATATTAAAAAGATTTTTTTTTGAAGATGTGGTTTCCATAACATATTGTAGTATATATTGCCTATGACATTTATTGCTTTTAGGTAAGACCCTGATTAACAATATGTCTCACCTACCCTTGGGCATAGCACAATGCAATGAGCAATTGATCTTACTATTTCTAGGTCTTCTAGCCAGCCAATACTTCACCCACAATGACAGTAATAGCTTACTCAAACTGCCACTACTGAGGTAATAGAAACTTTCCAAATTGCCTTAGTGAAAGCTATTCAATTGATCCCATACTTGGTTCTCACTGATAGTGGAATACTGATATTCGCATATTTTTTCTGATATGTTCCATGAATTTTTGGAAGACTTTTCTGGCTTACATATGTTGTTTTCAGTCCCTGTCAGATGAAGTCTGAAATAGGGACTTGTGTTTTGGTTTCTGTCCATTAGTCCATCTGTTTGTGTGTGTCCATCGATCGTCATTGTAAAATGCATATATAATAGCTCTTTCACTGTAATAATTGTTTGTTAACAATGTTTGCAAAGTCCATCTTGTATTTTTTTTTTTTTTTTTGGCCTTTACATGGTGAAAACCAATTCAATTTGCAAGTTGTGGTCACTCAACCTGAGTTGTGAAGTTAGTTTATTTCAATCCCGTTTCATGGCATAGCACTGCAAATGTGTATGAGCAGTTCAGAAAGTTAAAATATACTGGTATTTTTCTGCTATATCTGACTAACTTTCAAAGAAGCACTTATCAAAACTGTATTTCTGCATATTTTTCTGTCTCTGATTGGTTGTTATCTCCATACATCACATGCAATACAGTGCATGTCTCTGATTGGTTGTTATCTCCATACATCACATGCGATACAGTGCATGTCTCTGATTGGTTGTTATCTCCATACATCACATGCGTTACAGTGCATGTCTCTGATTGGTTATCTCCATACATCACATGCAATACGTGCATCCTGTTTATCACAAAAGGACTCAGAAAACTGTCTGTCCAACAACAAATTTGGTTTTTATCAAACCTTTGTATTCACTAGATTGTTTGCTGTATATGCACCAGGCTTTTTATCTTACCCGGTATACATGTATTTGTGGAAACTACCAGATGTTCTTTTTACCTCAATTAACTAATAACCAAGTCATGAAATCTGGAAGCCACACATATGTTACTGGTACAGTGTATCAACTCCATCATATGTTCCGACTGGGTGGAACATGTATGTGGAATTAACAGCTAAGCAACCATCCCTAAAATACATGATTTTTTGGAACTGAATATTCTGGGTGCTAAGTAAGTGAGTTAGCTAAATAAATAAGATAATAAATAATTTGAATGAATGAATTATTATAAAAAAAACAAAATACATAACATAAAAAAGCATTTGGGATAAAATTATTAGGAGACCATATCACTGTTGTATGCAGTTTTCCTGTTTATAAAACCAATTTAGTAGCATACTGAACATTTTTGTTTCATGACAGACTACAACATGTAAGGTGCATGTCAATAATATTAGCATATCTATTGTAATTAATTATTTGTGTATTATAGACAAAACTACAGATGTACAAAATGTACATGTACTGAGGTGGGCAATGTGAAAGTACTGATATTATGCCATATTGCAAAAAAAAATGATAGTTAGAAATCACTTGTATTTACTGCTGGAAAACCTTCAGGATTAGCAAAAATGACTGGAAAAAAGTGTCAGTAGGCAATGTGTTCATTTAATAAATATCTACTTTATGGAAAATATAATAGCTGTTAAATTCTGGTTATTCTTGGAGGTTACTGATTTAAGTACTGTAATTACATATTCATTATGTAATATGTTCCAGTTTTCATGTACCATCCCTTCCTACTCAAAAAATACACTATCAATTTGGGGAAATAAATTGACCCAGAAAAGTTTTGCCGGAAATATATATGATAATAATTTCTATAAAAAGTGACCTTCAGGGTAGAGTAAGTCTTTGCAGTCTGGGTAATGCAATTATTATGACTGCATATACACAGCTGTCAAAGTCATTGTGAGCATTCTATTCGTTATTTCTTGGCCATTAACTCAATTTACCCATCCGTATGTACATTGGTAATTCACTGTCAGGATTACAATGTTATTATTAACTGAAAAACCATGGTGTTTCTTCATTACTATCTATATCCTATGTAATCCTAATGTATCTATTCTATTCTCATTGATACATTTGTAAAACACTTATTTCCATATTGTTTTAATGTAAAATTAATATGCATCATACATGTATCATCATTTCTGTGTTTCTCTCAGATTTTATGAACTGGCGTTTTTTTTTTTTTTAATAATTATTATTCATGGTTCCTCATTTCAAAACTGAGGGCTTTCACCTACCATTGTCATCCAGTCCCCAGACCCCCATGTTGTCATCCAGTCTCCAATTCCCCCATGTTGTCATCCGGTCCCTGACCCCCCGTGTTGTCATCCAGTCCCAGAGGACCCCCCCCCCCCAATGTTGTCATCCAGTCCCCAGACCCCCATGTTGTCATCCAGCTCTCGGATCTCCATGTTGTATTTATATACCACTGTTCATCATCTAAATATTCCACTGTACACCAGCATTAGGAGTCCACCATCTGGGTAGACTATGACCTCATAGCTTCTATGTTATCAATGCTAGAGAATCAAGATGGTTCTACTTATGATGAAATCATTTTCTCAATTTTTCACAACAGGAACTATGATATCATGCTTTATTTCATCCATGATTTCTACTATGTTTGTTGTTAAAATGTGGGTATTATATCTAAAAACATTGAATGAAATAAAGCTGATTAAAAACAAATTTGTGACAGTGGGAAAGAAATCTTCTTATACACAATTTTGGCATGGCTATAATTATAGACCCTCAATTTGACAAGAGTTTTCTTGTTTTTTCTTGTTCTTATAATCTTATAATCTTGTTAATTTTTTATAAATGACATAGATTGGTGGACTTTGCAAAAATTTAAACTGGTATTATGCTGAATTATTCATGATAATAAATTTTTTTTTTTTTTAAACAAATTTTTAGTGTAAGTGCATGATTTGGTTTTCAAGTGATCTACCAGCCAATGTTGCCAAAAATTGATCAACTGTCTATTGAAATTATGTATGATTATTAACTTAATTTTAAAGTTGTATGTTTTTTTTTAACTTTCTAATAAATGGTAGACTGATAGTTTTTGCACCAATTAATGGCATATTTGTTTGAACATAGATTACAATTAAACTGACAACCTATTTTATGTTGTCCTGGCACTGGTAGTGGAAACTTCTCTCTGCACATACATGTAGTAATCTGTAGGAAAATATTTGCTTAATTGGCACAAATTTCTAACCACATATTTCACAATTTGGTGACATTTCAGAATAAGGACCTACTAAATCAAGTAAGACTGTGTGCATTCTATTTTTTATTTCCTTTGAATTTTTTTTTAATCTATTCTGACTTTAGCTCTAGATAACATTTATATTTGTTTCCTGATTACTAACAATATTACTCTTTCTTAGATCTAACTTACATATTGTAAAGTTATTGTATTTGTCTTTGATATCATAACTGACTGAATGTGCTGATTCAATAATAGTTCATCTATTCCACTAATAAAAGTACTTGGAAAAAGTTGTTAATTTTGTGATTGTTGTGAAGTTAGTCGACTCTGTATAACTTCAAAATGCGCTCATTTTATACAAATTTTTAATCAAAATCATGCTCTGTCTAAAATGAATTTTGAATATACATAATAAAAAAAATATTGTAAACATTTGTTCTAGAATATTGGCAGAACAAAATGTATGTGCCAACTATTTTGTACCAAAATAGTAACAAATATAATAAAAAAAATTGGTCTTTGAATCAAATCATTCATTAACAACAGTTGAATTTTGAATATTGCTAAATAACATTACTACAACATCAGTGTAAATATTAATAGAATTGTGTACATGATATTTATCAGTGCTAGTCATTTTTGAGTTGATTTGTCAAATACAATACATCCCTTGCCTTTCTATATGAATTCCTTCAGTGCACAATATTCTACTTAATTGCTGTCTCATTTTACATCTTCATATCCTCTAAGGCTTATGAGTGAACCACCCACACATACATGTATCAATATATCCCTTACTGACTCATTTCTCTAAACACATTAATCATCCATTTCTCTATTTTGAGTTACCATATCCATGTAAAATTCAGTCCTCATAATAAATAAGCCTTCAGTTTAGCTTAAACTGTATGCAGACATACATAAAATTTCTGTGATTTTTGTTTTCATTACAGTTCACAGTATTGCCATGATTTTTACAGTGTCTCAACACTGACACTATAAATATACGTATTTTTGCCCTACAGCTGTGGACGCCCACCTCACCCAATCATACACCCACACTCATCGATTTGTGTCTGTCTACCAATTCCACCATTTAATGGCCAGCCATTGAGTGCTAAGTTGCATGAAACTTCAGACCATATGGATGTGTTGATTGAAATGAGACATGTACACATTTAAAACACTGACAAATCTTTGCTAATTAACCTTACCTTCTAACGATATAATTAATTGCATGGTGTGGACTTATTGTTTCCTGCTTTGTATTTTTAATGTTGTGTTTATGTTTGTGGTGCTGTATTGTGATTTATTTTTGCACTTAGTACTGATGCACTTTTCTGACATCACAATTTGTTACGCTTTTTTTAGAAACATTATTAAAATAATACATGTGAGCAAGATTTGCTAGTGCCAGATGAAGTTACAGACCCTCAGAATTTATCAATTGGTACATAACTTTCACATAATTGAGTAATTTGTGCCATAAGACAGCAAAATGATTGAACTAAAATATCATAAAATATGTAACCATCATCATTGTTCATGTTTGTACAAAGTTTACAAGTATATAAAGGTCCTGCCCACTAACATATGAATTCACCAATTACACCAAAGCAGGGAGTTGTGTTTGTGACATCATTAATGATTATTTGTAATTTAAATTTATGTCATTTATTTGGGGTAATTGACAATTTTTTATTTCAGTTCAAGAAGAGCTTTTGTATGTTTTTTTTTTTTTTTTTTTTTTTTTTTTTTTTTTTTTTTTGCAAACATGGAAAGAGTGACTGTGTCAAAAAAGAATTAATATTATATATATCCCCTTGAAAATACTTTTTGTTATGCATTAAAATATGCTGATTAATGAGAGTGCAGTATTACAGATGGTCAACACATGTACTACTTAAAAAATGTCATCTTTCACAAAATAAAACCAGCAAATTTATATCAATATTTTTTTTCTCACATTCTGACATTGACAAAAACAATGTTTTAAATTTTGTATCTGAATCATCTCATTCAATGTTATACATGTACACGTGTGTGACTGTAAATTCTTGTATTTTACAGCCAATTGACTATGAAGGATTTAAGTTATTTATGCAGACCTACCTTGATGTGGACATCATGCCTGAAGACCTGTGCCGACATCTTTTTCTGTCGTTTGTCAAGAAAGGTATCGAATTGGACGATAACAACAAACATGCTGATGGAAAAAAAGGTAATGATACCAATAGTACCATGTGGGAACATACTGAATACTTATTTTATTTATGCCTTCTTATTTACAGATTGTTGTATCTGGCCTGAAAACAAGGTATTTGTTTCACATGTTTCATTATTATTGTATATATAACCAATCTAGATTCAACGAAAATTACTGAAATACTGCTGATGACTGATATTTCAAGAATGTGTCAAAAATCAGTGAAACTTGGTACTTAGATTTTGTTGACCAATTTATTTCACTGATATACTGAAGTACTCAATAATTCAAAATAATTGCTCGTATTACAGCTTTCACATACCACTTTATAAGCTTCTAGTTTAATAGGCTTAATATGTTTTTAATTCATTTTTAATTAATATTAAATATTTCTTATATATCTACCACATGTCTCCAATACATACACACAGGATTTTTTCCAGGCTTTTTTTTATTTTGGCTGATAAATAAATCAGTAAAAATAAAAGCCAGTGAAATTCCTGCAATGATTTTCACCAAATTCACACACATCCTCTATGCTGAATGAGCTGCATAATCAGCTATTGACAAATTATTTGTTTGAGGGCGCCCTTTCTTGCAGTCGTCATTAGACTGTTAAATTTATTCAAATCTATTAACCTATTTACTATAGATATTTTTCTGTTCTGTTTTTGATATACAAAGTTTGGATAAAAAGTCGAAGTCTGATATCTCAGTCTTTGAGCAATATCACATTTGATGTGAAAAAAATGTTGAACACAATTTTAGTTCACTGTCAGATCCTGCAGTATATGCAGAAGTCAAATGTAAAAAACAGAACAGACAAAGGTCTTAGTAACAGTGTCAAAACATTGTGTTGAGATTCTACAAATGCAACAAACAGGTATTTCAATGCTTAATAATGTGCTATACATATCTGATGATCAACGTTGATGAAGTAAGGTTATCTCAGTGCCATATTGCTATCTGAAACATTGATATTTTGTCGTGTAAAAAAAAATTCAAGTTCAAAATTTTTTTTTTTTTTTTGCAACTGATATTTATTCCATGCCTTTCACACTATGCAAGTTTTTGCACTGAACAGGAAATCAGGAAATTTTTTGGAAGAAAATTATTGGATATTGTCAAACATTTTTACCTGAGTGTGGTAAAGTAGTAGGCTTGGTCACTCTTCAGAATACAACATCAAATATGTGGTATTAAGTTTTCCACATGATAACTGGATGCTTCTTTCTAATACCATAAAATCTGTATTAGAAGCCGCATCTCAAATATAAGTCATACCCATTCTTTTAGAGCAATTGAGTACCAAACATTCACAATTTTTCATACATGTAGATGCTCTAATAGAAGCCGCATCCCTTCTGTAGCATTGTACCATTTTAATAAAAGCCGCAGCTTCTAATACAGATTTTACAGTAGTGGCTGTAAATGGAATTTGCTTTTTTTGGTCTTCTGAATAAATAAATAAACATTTGCACCGAAATTTGAGTTAGAGAATCTGTAGAATATGATATGTTATTTTATCCACATTTCTTTCTGCACTGCAAGTGATGCCCTCTAGTGGCAATGTGAGCACCCTCTAGTGGTGGTGCACTTCTGTAATGAAAAAATGTACATGTAATTTGAGAGATTGTGGAAAACCCCTGCTTTATGATCATGAGGATAATCGTCAGGTAACCAAGGGAAATAGAACAAAGAATGAGAACGTGATGGACCAATCAGAACGCTGGACCCATTACTACCGGTAGTTACCAGCCTCTTTGTGGCTTTATGCTGCACCATGACACTTGAGGTGGGAACCAGCCAATACATGTAGATGAGTGTCAATATCATTTAAATATGCAACTTTGCTTGGTAACTTTAATTCTTGACCTACTTATACACTGTATGACACAACAGAGCATCATTGATAGAGGGCGCTACACATAGAAATGATGTATTGTTCATGATATTTTTATTTTTTTCAGGGTCAAGCAATAAAACGGAGGTGCCCATTAAGCCAGTACCTGCTCTCATTAGTGGAGAACAAACTGGTTCCCCAAGTCACTCCCGTAGTTCCTCTAAGAAATCCAATGCTTCAAATGGATCAATCCATTCTGTCAAACCGTTAACTTCCATAATCAAATCAAAAGGTGTGTAATTTACTCACCACAATGTAACCATTCATCACATTGTATCCATATGTTACATACATTACATCATTATTCGTGTTCAATTTTTTGAATTTCAATAAGATTTTTAGAAATATACCCAATGTATTTGGTAAAGAACAGCACCGTAAATTTCTCAAGTCAAGTATATGAAGTGCAATCATTTTGTAACCAATTTTTCTTATGCAGAGAAAACTCCATTACCAACAAAACCTTTAAAGATGAAGCCCAAAAAAACAAAATCATTATCGAGAAGTTTCTTTCGGCGAAATAAATCAAAATTTAATGATGACAGTTCCAGTGAGGAGGCGGATGATGAACCCAAACCACCATTACATTATGAGAAAGGATTACCTCCTGACGTTGCAGGACAAGTTGTCTACATGAAAGATATTGTATGTTATTTGTCATTACTGGAGGGTGGAAAACCTGAAGATAAACTAGAATGTAAGTGGGTCATACATCCTTGAACATTTGGGGGTATGATAATTTAGTAATCACCATCCTTAGAGGTGAGTATACATCGTACATCCTTGTACATTTGGGGGTATGATAATTTAGTAATCACCATCCTCAAAGGTGAGTATACATCGTACATCCTTGTACATTTGGGGGTATGATAATTTAGTAATCACCATCCTTAGAGGTGAGTATACATCGTACATCCTTGTACATTTGGGGGTATGATAATTTAGTAATCACCATCCTTAGAGGTGAGTATACATCGTACATCCTTGTACATTTGGGGGTATGATAATTTAGTAATCACCATCCTCAAAGGTGAGTATACGTCATACATCCTTGTACATTTGGGGGTATGATAATTTAGTAATCACCATCCTCAAAAGTGAGTATATGTCATACATCCTTGTACATTTGGGGGTATGATAATTTAGGACTCACCATCCTCAAAGGTGAGTATATGTCATACATCCTTGTACATTTGGGGGTATGATAATTTAGGACTCACCATCCAGGGATACAACAAGATTAGGACCAATTTCACAACATATACACACAAGTTTTGAACTGGTCAAAATCGAGTGGTGAGGGTGGTTATTAGTCCCCGTTCGGACGCAGTCAAAAAACGGTGACTTACATGTATGTTTGTGTGTGCGTCTGGACCTGTATATTAGAAATGCCTGCACCAATCACAATCAAATTTCACATACACGTATCATACATGATGCACATCAATTTGTCTCATGATCTGATTCAAGATGGCCGAATGATGGCCATTTTTGTGCTAAAAAATCAAGCATTTATGGATGGATTTAAACTTGATGCATACGTTGGACATTATGGGACCTTGATGTACATCATTTTATTTTTCAGTTCAGATTTAAAAATAGGCTGACTGGCGGCCAATGTGTTTTAATGAATGCAGTGCTAGTGCCATATCTCTGACATGCTTTGACATGCTTTGATGGATTTTGTTCAAACTTGGTACATACATTAGAGATTTTGGGTTCCTGATGCAAGTCATTTTATTCTTCAGATCGGATTCAAAATGGCGGACATTTCGTTTAAATGAATGTGCTTCTAGAGCCATATCTCTGATATGCTTTGACTGATTATGTTTAAATTTCATATATTCGTTTCACATCATGTCATAGATATATAGATGTATTCAAAATGGCTGACTGGTGGCCATTTTGTTTTAATTAATGCTATTCCAGAGCAATATTTCTCAATATGGACAAGGACTCGTTTTGACGATCAGATACAAGATGTCAACCATTTTAATGTTAAAAAATCATCATAATCAAGCATCATCTTCTTGATCCATACTTTTGACATGTTTATGTTCCAACTATGTTACTATAAACAAAACTATATATCTTAAATTTGATAACTGACAAGAACTGTGCCATGCATGGCTTGTTTCTATTATATTATACCAACTTCATTTTAAAACCCACCATGACTTTACCACATTAAGTATTGATTTGAAGTGATTTTCATCTAGAAAATTACCTATCAGCGGGCTTTTGCTGGATCTAAATTATTGTACTTATTTTTAATGATTTCATATAACTTTGAAATATCATATGCACTTACATTATTGACATGGTAATATTTATGATAACATGATAATTATATATTTCTTCCAGTTATGTTCCGTTTGTATGATACTGATGGAAACGGTTTACTTGATAGTTCAGTAAGTTTGATTATTATGTCTGTTCAAATTATTTATATATAATACATAATGCCTGACAAGTGAGCATTGTTGAGCAGATTATTGATTTATTAAAAATAGAACTGACAACTTTTTGTTGCTCCCACTGCACTAACTATAAAAGATATAGATAGCATGATATATCAAGCAATGATGGTATACGCTATGTCATATTGTGAGGTTATTTGAAGGACACCACACTGTATACACAAAGATGACTCAGAAGAAGTATCAGCTAAATGTAGCCTAGGGATGTGCAGATTCACTGTGCCCTCTTGTGTCTGAGTCTACAGTTTGAAATATTACATACCGATTCCTTATTTGGAATTTATATTTCCTTATATGGTAAGATGCAAAATTCTCCCAAAATTCTATTTTCTGGAGATACATGTACACTGCCTGATGTATAATTAATATAGATATACACTCTACAAATATGTACATACCTCACTGTCCTGCAAATATGTACATACCTCACTGTCC